GCTAGCGTGGGAAGGGTGAATTAGTTGTTCAAACTCGACAGCGACCAATCCATAGCAGTTGCATTTCAGCGCCTCGTCCGAACTCGCAGAGGTGGAAATCTTGAACTCCCACCACCCGTCATACGAGTCCGTCTGCTGGGAACGCGCTGTATCATGAGGTCGGAGTTGTAAAATATGTTCGATGTTGGACTCCTCGTCAAGTACGACTGCACTCTTGATCCGAACATCGCGGAGCTTGTACCCTTTCGCCACACGGCTATTGTCCTTGCCCTGAAGTTGGCTAGCAGCTTCAATTGCCATTGCTAGAAACCCACCAGCTGGAAATAGGACTGCAGATTGCATTTTGTGGTGTCCGACCCAAGGAACATGTTCGAGTCGAAGGAATCCTCTCCACGTGTGCTCGTTTGCTGCTAATGACGGCATAGGAAGCCCAATGAAGGTACTGGGAGAGTCATTAACGGCTTTTGCCTCACGAAGCATGCGTGACTCGGCCCAAAACGTCCTCGAGTGGTTCCAGACATATGGCGGTAGGCTTGTGAGGGTGTTGGCCGGCATTGTCTTGTGGCCCACTCCTTGAGGGGTATGCGCGTTGTTGACAGCATCAATGTCAACAGTTACGCCACGGCAGATTAAATCCGCTACTGCAGCAAGTGTGGTTTGGATAGCATTGCAGCCACGAGAAAGAAGAGACTGGTACTCAACGTTCCGAAGTCCCCTTGCCTGGAGGATCTGCGTGACTGGACCACGGAGTGCTGCATGGGGGCCGATTTCTAGCATCAGGTCAACTGCGGAACCAGTTGCCTGGTCTTCCGGAGTCTTTGCCCTCGCGAGCTCAGCAACCGTATTGGAGAAGAGAACAGGAGAGACCAAGTTTGCCACCCAATGTGAGGCGTCAAGGTCGCTTGGGTTGGCCAACGTCTCGCTCACAGAAGTAAACATCTGCGGCCCATCAACGGGCACGCTCCGGACCTCGACATCCTTGAGGGCATCGAGGTAGGCTTCGGCAACGACTTTCATATGATGAGAGTGATATGCCGTGGTGACTTTCAATTTCCTTGCAAATACCTCTTTCTCCTTGAGCATCGCGGCTAGCTCTTCCAAGCCGGCGTCATCACCTGAAACCGTAACGCTTGAAGGGGAGTTAACGCAGGCGACAACACACTTGCCACGAGTCAATCCTTCCACCCATGACTGTGCTTGTTCGTGAGAGCCGCCTACGGCCATCATGGCCCCACGTAAGTTAGGCGCACGCTCCGTGAGCTCACAAGAGAGCTTGCCTCGCCAGTAGGCGATTTTCCAAGCATCCTCACGTGTAAGGGCACCTATGGCAAAGGCAGCCGCCATTTCTCCACTCGAGTGGCCAACGACAGAACGCGGAGTGATACCCCAAGACCGCAGGAGTTCAACCAAGGCAACCTGGAGAACAGTACACAGCGTCTGACTGTACCACGGAACATGGATATTCGACTCAGCACCGCTCCGCTGCAACTCCTCGACCACCGACCAAGGACAGCCTAGCTTCTTCAGGTGACTATCTGCAGCCACAACGCTTTGTTTAAAGGTAGGAAATTGGAATAGTTCCAATCCCATTTGCGCCCATTGAGCTCCCTGGCCCGTGAAAACGTAAGCAATTCGCAGAGCCGCTGTTCCAGACCGAATCTTCGGAAAGTCGGTAGCTTCCAAAGCCTCAGACAGTTCCAGGACCGTGGAAGCAGTGCAGAATGATCTCCAAGGAAGGCGACTGCGTTTCTTTCCCAGAGTAAAGGCAAGATCACGAAACCAATCGCTATTTGCACCTCCTTCTTTACCAAAGTGGGTGAGGTACTGGCGAAGAGCAGACCTTTGACGACCTAACCCTTCTTGATCACTGGAGTTGATAACGAAAATTTGCAGCGCCTCCGATTTCAGCCCTTTGTCATCAGCGGCATGAGTCCCGTGAACGAGGGTCACCTGGTTTGCTTTTGACCGTCGTTGATGCAGGTACTGTTTACCATTGTCGATGATAGCATGGGCATTGCTGCCTCCGAAGCCAAATGAATTGACACTGACACGGCGTATCGTGTCGGGTTTCCAAGTAACTTCTTGCGTGGGCACTTTTATGTGATATTCTTGAAAGGGAATCCTGGGGTTGGGATTCTTAAAATGCAGGTTAGGGGGGATGACGCCGTTCTCTAGGACAAGTATTGCCTTGACTACACCAGCCAGACCTGCCGTTGCTTCGAGATGACCAATCTGTGCCTCACGTGTTAGGGTGCAGGTTCGAAGTTATAACAAGGGTTGACAGAATAAAAAGATCTTACATTCGTCTTTGCAGATCCCACCCACAATTCCTCCAGCCCTTCGCGCTTGCGGGCGTCGGCGACAGTTCGAGCTATTGCGCTTAGCTCCTCAAAATCACCAACCTGTGTTCCGGTTCCCTGATATTGTGTGAGGATTCTGACCAGGTAAAGCTAATTATTGATTAAGACCAGTCTTACATGTGCTTCAAAATATGCCGTGTCTTTCAGCTCGAGTCCTGCTGATCGATACGTTGATCGGATCAAGGCTTCTTGTGCGTCGCCATTCGGCATGGTCAGGCCCTTGGTTTTTCCATCCTGATTTGTTCCAGTTGCGCGGATGACGGCACGGATGGGATCGCCGTCACGAATGGCCTTCTCAATAGGTTTAAGGATGATAGCCGCAAACCCTTCACCTCGGCCATAGCCGTTTGCTGATGCGTCAAACGCCTTGCTCAGTCCATCGGGAGCCAAAAAGTTCTGATTTGACAGTGCGAGGAACATATTTGGGTTGAGGAAGAGGTTGGCTCCTCCCACTAATGCGGCGTCACATTCACCGGATCGCAGACTCTGACATGCTACGTGAAGACCAACCAGACTACCGGAGCATGCAGTCTCTAAAACCATACTTGGCCCACGCAAATCAAAGAAATACGAAACTCGATTTGCGAGCATCTCTGGTTGCATACCCGACATTGCGTATTTGGGTACCGACTGCAGGTCCGAGAACTGCATTTCTCTCCAGTCTTGCGAGAAAGAACTTACCCAGCAGCCCATTTGGCTCTGTGCAAGAGATTCCACGGAGAGACCAGCATTTTCGAAGGCTTCGTAAGACACCTCAAGCATCAGGCGCTGCTGAGGATCCATACTTACGGCCTCGGATTTGGAAATAGAAAAGAAATTGGCATCAAACGCCGATACATCCTCTTTTAGAAAATGCGCGTTATTGGTGCGGCTGGTGTTTTGGCTGTGATTCTTGTCATCCTGGAAGCGACGACTATTCCATCGGTTCCCTGGAACAGTTGATATGGCAGCTATACGACAAGTCAGTCAGAAGCAATATCTGCATGACAAAATGGCATATGGATAATGAAACAATAGATGATAAAACATATTAAAACATACACTGTCCCTCACGGAGGAGGTTCCAGAATCGTTCTGCGTTGTCGGCATCGCCAGGAAATCGGCAAGACAGGCCAATAACGGCTATTGACTCGTCACCATAGCTGTTCTCCATCTCTACTGCATGTATATAGTGGCGTTAACAATCTACACTCAAATTGTCATAATATACAGCTTGATGGAGGTGATATGTCGTGTCATTTGCAGGCGTCGTGATGGCTAATTATGGCTTGTAGGGGACTGAAACTCGGTACAGTAGCACAAAATTGGGGGGAGGAAACGGCAGAGAGAGAAGTCAATAAGCGTGGTGTGAGTCTAGCCTAGAGGAGATATACGGCATTAAAAGAAAAGATCAAGTCCTAGATCCGTCACAGCGTCCACAAATTATGCATAACATCCAGGGACGGATCGGCTGCGAATGCCAACTAACGTCCTTTACCTCGTATCCTGCTCCTGGTGGCGGCTGACGGGACCAAGTGAAGATCTGGCTTCATATATAATAAGCCGAATAGACGTTATCAACATGTGTTTTGCACCAGGATCCTACGACTGGATTCGCAACTATGGAAGTCTTGGTAGCGCTAGAACAAGTCAGTTCTGTACAGGCTACGGAGGTAAGGCTGACGCAAACGAGGATGGATTTCTTACATACATGAGCGATAAAATAGCGTAATCGCGCAGCATCATACGATATATGTACTTCGTATGGGACCATGTCCTAGTCCTTACTCTGTATCAACGGCCCACGTCATGTAACCTTGCGGCGCAGGATCTGGCTGATGAGTGTTCGAATAATAAGGAATTGGGGGTTCACCTAGCTAGCTACGCGCCAACACATTAATAAAAGCTAGCAAGTTAGCAAGCAAGCACAAGCAAGGAAGGAAGTAACTAAGTAAGTACCGAGGTAAGCAAGCCAGTCAGCAAGCAAGTAAGAAAACAAGGAAGTACGTAAATATGCAAGTAAGAGAATTTCACAGTTAGTAAAATGCTGTCAAAATGTCTGCGTCACACGGAACCTTGGTCGAGGTCCCTATTTCGTCTCAAATGGCTCTATTAATAAATGGTCTTTCTATAAGCGGCGATGGTGATAACCACCATGGAATCGTCGTCCCATTACGCCTCACTTACCCACCTTGTCAGTCGTAAGCCCCCTTCCTTCATACGTGATAGGTGATAAAGAGGCGAAAGTTAAAAGTACGTTACGCGTATTGGGAACTACAGTCGATCTTCTAAGTAGCTTTACGAACTTCGAGCTGACAACACCCTTCCGTGTGTTTAGCCATAAGGAGCCGTTCAATACACATCGCCACCTGCAAACGACAGATTATTTGGCGATTGTAGTGTTGCTGTTGCTCATGAGAATACCGAGAAGATGGAATTTAGGAACATGTCTTACACCGATCCCTTGTCCTTTTCAGAGTCTTCTAAACATCTTGCTCATGCCTATATGCGTCCCATCTTACTCGTATGCCTCGCATATTTATTTTTACCGTTTTGTGATTCAATTTTTCGCACGAGGATTCCCTCTTGTTGGAGACAATGCTTTTTTAGCTCCTTTTCGGTTCGACAAGAACGTGCACATTGTGTACATTACAGTCTAGCATGAATGCTGCGGTGATACATCCTGCCAGCAATTGCACCAAGCGGCCACTCCCAAGCCACAACTCTGCTGATACCTTTCGGCTTTCTCGACGACTTTTCGCTGTTGATGGGACCTTTTTAAAGGCCCAGTTTGTACTTACTCTCCTTGTTGCTGTTGGTATTGACGCTAACGGGGAGATTGTGCTCTTGGCCTGGGCTGTAGTAGAGTCAGAGAATGGCCCTGCTTGGGAGTGGTTTCTCCAGCATCTTCGCTGGAGTATACCCTCACTTGCAGGAGAGCCAGCAACTGTTATCTCGGATAGGGATAAACGTCTTGCTGAAGCTCAGAGAGTCCTTAGACCCTTAGTAGTAGCAGCTCATTGCTGCTACCATCTTAAAGGCAACTTCACTAACCGCTTTAGGAGGGCCCTTAGCCCGGATTTCTAGGTAATTGCCCGTGCAAAGACAAGGGCGTCTTATAACAGTGCCTTCGATACACTGCGAGAGAAGAAGGCTGACGCAGCAGCGTACGTAGAGGAAGCCAGGCCTGAAAGATGGGCGCAGGCGTGCTTTGTTGGCCACCGATATGGCCACGGTACAAGCAACGTTGCTGAAAGCCTGAACTAGGTGATTAAGCTCGATCGTGAGCTCGCAATTCTAGAGCTTCTTGATACCCTTTGGCGTCGAGGTGTGGCCAAAAGGGCTGGGTGCCTATCTACCGCTGTGAAGGCTATAGAGGAGTGCCGATCAACGACACCCTTCGTCGAGGGTAAGTTAACGGAGGGCCGGCTCCGGGCACGCCAGAATACGGTGATGCCTTCATCGCCGACTCAGGCCCGGGCCCAGCAACCCGATAATCGGGTTATGCTAGTGGATCTAGAGGCAAATACATGCTCTTGCCTCTGATATCAAGAGGATGGCATCCCTTGTGGTATGCACTGACCTTTATCTTCTCGATGGGTCAGACTCTGGCGTCCTTCTTACCTCCTGGGCTTTCTGCAGAGGTGCGGAGAGCTTCATACGAAGCTCCTATGCCTCCAGTTGACGTCTCAGAGCTAGCTGCAGGCCACGTGCGTCCTGCTTGCTTCCCTGCAGTAACCCGTGTACCTCGGGGACGTCCGAAGAAGGAGCGTGTTCGCCGGGAGGGTGCCCGGCTACCTCGTGGGAGGAGGAAATACATGGATCACGGGGGTTTATTACCGTTAGGAGCTGTTGTAGCAGCTGCCTGATGTAGTGCGCTCCCGATGTAGCACCTGTAGCCAGCCAGGGCACAATTCAAGGGCACTGTCACAGGCCTCGTGATTGAAGAGCGACTACAGAGGCTTACTAGGGGGTTGGGGAGGGTGGCTATAGCGAGGTGGGCAGCAGCAAAGGGGGCGGCAGCAGGCTGGGCATATGAATCTTTTTGGGCATGACAGGGTATATAGATCTTTGGCCCTACTTTAAAACCTGGCCTTCGTACCGGGCTGTCTTCTTACTAAGGGCCTGTTCAGCGTCGGATATGGTGCCTCCATAGCGTATTTTCAGGATGCGGCTAAACATCCTTGGTACAACGGCAGCGCTAGTTATCCCTGTCCTAGCGGCAAAGCTAAGTCATGGCGGCAGAGCTAAATATCCCTGTCTATAAATATTAGTGGTTCTTGGGCACCACACTGTATAGTAATTTCATAGGATCCTGCTGAGGTAGATGCCATCTGTAGCCAGTAAATCATATCCTTCTTACACCTTTCCTTGCTTGGCTGGCTGTAGAAGGTATTGAACCAACCACCACCATGGTAACCCTTCTTCCACTACTCGAGGCTTTGTATCTTGATCCAGATATAGCCTTTACAGCTATTCAAGCACACGCAAAGGAGGCTGGATACGCGTTTATAAAGCTGGATAAAAAGCTATACAAGCGTGTATTTGCCTGTGATCGTTATGCCATCCTCTTTCGGCAACAGTCCCTTACAAAATGGGTAGGACAAGCTTGGGAAGAAATGGATAAGGAGGACGGAAGATTTATCTCTGAAGCCCTTGAGAAAATAAGATTAGGTCTGCCTATTGATGGTAGTTGAGTTCATAAGATAAAGATCAAAGTCTTTCCCTGTGTGCAAGTCGGGGAAGCCTACAAATGCCACAGATATTTTATAGTTTCAGAGTAATTTGACATCAATGGAGGTAGAGAAGCTAGCTAGAGCACTTGATCCTTGTGAAGATCAAAAAGGACGCTCATGAATATGGGGATGAGGATGACACTATAGTCGTAGTAGAGATGTAAAGAACTTCATTGCGTATTTCTATAGGGTGTTCTAAAGGAGCTAATAATAAGCCAATTCTTTGTGGGAGTACAGTAGCCATCGAATAGGAGGGCTATATTAAAAAGAAAATGGGTAATAGTAGCAACGCAAGATATATTGCCTTAGAGTCTACGGCATTTGGACCTCTATTCATCTACACTCCCCCAAGTTCAATCACAAAGCTCAAGTCAGTTATTGAGACTAGACTCAACAGCCACTCTAGCCAGACATCTTGAGGACTACTCATCTCTAATATAAACTTTTGTCGCAAATCCCTCATACAATCTGCAAGCTTCTCCCTGGATTGATCTATTGTTTCTCCACTTTCCCTAACAACAGCTGAAATCCTGTACTTTTTAAGGATAGTATACATGACACTAACAAATTCTAGTTGGGCCATCTTCATTCTAGGGCATTGTCTAGGACCTCTAGACCATACGAGGTACGTTCCTTTTGGCGGATTGACCAGTTTCTGTTGCAATAAACTGGCCTTCTGTATCTGATGTATCATAAAGCCAGCGTTGAGGATGAAATAAAGATGGATCTGGTACATTAATAGATGGATTCAGATTGACGCCTTGATTTGAGAATGCAATTCCTAAGCCCGATGGAATTTTGTGCGTACGGCCCGAAGAAAGGGCAACGTATTGATCGGCAGTTACAACATGGCTCGTCCTACCTACAGGACTGTAGATACGAGTTATCTCGAACTGTGAATTATCAGCAATGCTCTCCTGACTTAAAAAGCAAGAAGGGATTATAAATGCAAGACAACGGACAAGTTTAGAAAATGTCTGCTCGTAAGTGTGTCCAGAATTGTCTTTGGCCACATCAATCTCTTCGATGAGCCAGTCCTGCCATTGTGGGTAAGTTGCAAGATTTACAGCCGCGAACGCCATTGAATTCGCTGTCGTCTCGTACCCAGCTATGCCGAATACGAACAGGTTCCCTTCTACTTCCAACGGAGTCAGGCTCGACGTGTTTTGGACGGATGCGCTTTCACTTGTCGGATCCTTTCCGTCCAATTCTTTGACCAGCATTCCTATAAAACTGTTTTTCCTTACAGATTTCTCGGCCTGTTGAGCTCTCTCGAATTGAATCATCCCCTTCGCATACTGAGGAAAATCCCGCCTGGCAACTGCTGGTTTTTGAAGTGCCTGTGACACAAATGGCATCTTCAAGACAAAAAGTGGAATAAGGGCAGCTAGAATGAATCCTTGAGCTTGTATTGATATGGAGCTGAAAAAGGAGCTCGAGATTGATGTTTCTGACTTTTCTGCAATGGATGCTACACAAGGTTTTTGAATACCGTAGCCAGCAGCTCCGAGAACATTGATAGCGATAATTTTAAGCCCTACGATTACTGTATTTGAAACAAGGTCGCCTCGGGTTTCTATATCTGTAAGCATTTCTCTGGCTTGACGACAGCTTGTGGCCCAAACGACCTCGCTAATGCTCTCATTAAGAAATGGGGCAATGGTCCTCCTTTGCCTTTGCCAATCCGGGCCACTTGACTATAGCATTGTGAGAAATTTTCATCATCGAGGGAGGGCAGCATACAGTTAACATGCTTGGTCCATGTATGCCAAGGAGTTCTATTAAGATGTTAGTCAACTCACCTCAAGTTATTAATGATGCTTACTCTTTCCTATCGGCTCCAAATCAAATCCGGTTTTCCAAGCCCAAACCGGATTCAGAAATTTCTGGTCTGCACAATTGATTTTGCCTCCTCCTGGAGATACATATACAAAGGTGGGTGACTTAATATCCTCAAATGGTTCCCAACCGTCAGTGAAATCTTAACCTAGAATTCTAGGCCGAATAAGACGGTATAGAAAAGTTGGTAAACGACGTGGGGCGAGTTTTTGGAATCGAGGAGAAAATATCATCCACTCTAAATTTGTATGATCTATCGGGTTCACGATAATAGGAAGGCCAGTCTGGAGAGCTCTCCAGTAATTGATAACCAGGGAAACGGCAGAGTAAGCAATGTACAATGCATAGATGCCGAGAAACAGCAGCAGATGGGCCATAATGCTTGCGCCCCAGACGATGAAGCTACTCTAAAAACCAAATATAGATTTAAGGGAGCTTTAAGGGATAAATGAGGGAGAGGTTATATTTAATGCACCAGTAAAAAGAATAACACTTCGATTGGCAGACTTGTTTCTACAACCCACCGCTAGACCCTAGCCATACGCTTGCGTAATTACTGTAGCTGAATAATGTATTTAGATTACCTGTTATGGTCTGTACAAAAGTAATAATATTATATACTCCTTGGGGCGAGAGGCCAGGGTCATAAGCTATAGGAATTGCAGGGATCCGTACCAGGAGCAGGATCCACAGTAGTACAATTATACAGTATGTAGGAGTTTTCCATAGGTTGTATGTCCCAATGTGTGTGCATAGGAGCCATGTAACCTCCTAGATTGCGTCTTTTTGTTGCTACGTTGTACAGTGTGCATCTGTCTGCATGTACCCTTGACATTCTTTTAACTTGCTGCATGGCCGTGACCTCCACGGGAAACTTTGAACTAAAAGTCCTGCTACACGTTGGTCAGGGGTGACTAGCTTATCTTTCAGGTCTGCCACAATCTAAGAGGTAACAAAGTTAATGATAAGGCTCTGCAAGGATCACTGAGGTGTGCAGAGCTGTACGTAGTAGTCGCTTGGGGCAGCTGGTTTGGTGCTCAGTCAGCCTCCCCTAGCAGTTTTCTACCACCCTTGACTGGGTGGAGCAAGTGTTAAGTAATTACAGTGCAGTTATCCCAACGGACGACTAGTTACGGCGTAAAGGCAATTCTGCTGTTATTGCTGCCCTGTTTATTTGCACTCTTCGGGGGTACGAATGATGGTACTGTACTTATAGCCTATAAGACCATTTTTATATAGAGAACCTAGTAGGGAAGGTTAGAGCAATAGGAGTGTGGCTAGACACACCGCAAAACCACAGACTACCGTACGTACTGATGCTGGTGTGTGCAGAGCCACACGGTCTGCTATGCTTGAAAGCGAGACGTTTGTCCGGTACATTGACCACCTGTATCTTAACAGTAGAATCGTGGCATTCCATAAAAGGCTCCAAATCTCCTCTCTCTTTATGTAGATACGGACTGCCTAGAACGGGAATATATGATGGCTCAAGCTTGAGGGAAAGTGTCAACCACAAACCAAGGAGCAGCGAGGAGCAGAGTAGGAGGTCCAGAGGCACTAATCCCTCGAGGACCATATAAGGTAAAGAATTGAGTAATTTAATTTCTATCTGCCGAATTCTATGCTATAAAGATCTTAACAAGATAAGCCTACCTGTATCTCACTCCCTATATCGAAGTTGGCTCTTTGATTAAACAACTAGTAATTCCCCTCCGTCAGATACCTATAAACCTAACGGCAGGAAACCATGACGGTATCTAAACCTTTCGACTTTTGAATTCAAACTCTACAGTAGGATCAGGAATAATCGTGTGACCAAACCTCCAGGGCGGAGGTCGGATTTTGGATTTGCTGCTTAGTCGTATATCATACTTCGTAATCAACAATGCCAGTGTAATTTTCATTGTATCATGAGCTAGAAATCGGCTTGGACAAGCATGTCTGCCATAACCCCAAGGGAGCAGCTCATGATTGATCGCTGTGAACTTGTACTTATCAGTACTATGGGTCGATTGTGTTCGCAATTTGTAGAAACGAAGAGGGTCAAAAACATTAGGGTCGTTGCAATAATATCTTGGATCAGTCGTGGTTGCGCTGTTTGCGGCGACACAGGCAGAACCCCTTTTCAGCCGGACCTTTCCATCCTCGAGCGTTATATCGTCTCGGAGTTCGCGGATAGAAGCAACTGTAAGAAGGTGTAACGTTCAGTTAACTCGACCAAACGATGCTTGCTTCTAGAGCAATAGGGAGACCCACCTTGAGTAAAGGGGTAAATTCTTTGCGATCCCTTCATCAAGCTATCCATCTTAAGCAGCTTTGATAAACTTCCCCCATCGAGAAAATCACTTCCCTGAGGGGATACCTCTTCAATCTCATTTCGAAGGATTTCCACCAAATCAGTGTTGGCAGCCAATTCATGCAGGATGCTGACAAGAGCCGTTGCCGTTGTAGCAATTGCCGCGAAACCGATTGAGAGGTGAAGTTTAACATGAGGGATTGCAGTTCCATCTGTCTTTGTTTTGTACTTGGTCCAATTCAGGAACTGATCATCCTCGTCGGGAGAACCTAATATACTTTCAAACTTGGGGAATGCTCTTCTGTGCTTGGTCGAATATCTCGTCGGCTTTGATGTAAGTTTGAGCAAGGCGTCTGCGGACTGGTAAAATTCGAAATAAGATGAGTCTGAAAATTTCCGGACATAACTTCAGATAGGCATCACAACGAGACACGTCGACGACACATGCGATGATTGTAGATATCTACTCAGGATCTCTATTAAGCTGTTGGCCGCTAAGGAAACGGAGGTTGATGCCGGCCACAAGGCGTTGTACTTTGCCAAAGATCTTCATCGATGTCCAATCTATAATCGATTTGCTGATGGAACTAGTTGTTCTGAGTATTCTGACTTACCACTTACCAGGGTAATGTGCCATCTCCGTTTTCACGATATAGCGCGCTTCATCAATCAACTTTGGCCGCACACTTCCTTTTAGCAATTAGTCGTAGCATGATAGGTGGGGAAGTTGTCTTGCCAATGTCGCGAATAAATTTCTTGCCTAAGAAGTCTATTTGGAGATCTGAAGTCTCAAATCCAGTATATTCCGGTGAAGTCGGCATTGCAATCAGTTGGGATCACGGGAATATTAGGTGGAGCGACGTCACTAATCACATCATCCGCACCATGCGATATCAATATCGATTCTGGTATCTTCTGCAACTCTCTAAGATATTTACCAGGTATAATATAAATGTAGCCATGGCGGGATCAAACTTGAAGGATTCGATCGGGGAACTTAAAGAATTACTAACTCCTTTCATCGAGACGGGAATGGAACATTCACAGTTTGACAGCCTCGTGCCAACCAGACATAGCCTTTGTAGTTGAAATTAGTCAATTTTAGAAATAATCATAATGTCTCTCCCTCTCTCTCTTTGTACCAGTCGCACAATTCCGCCTCATATTACATTTTGGGTACATGCTGCTATATATTAGCTCTGTCCGAGCACGAGATTAGTGTTTGATACCACCGATAACACAAACGAAGCTCTAACCCTCTCTACTAGATTATTTATCCTCAGCCTTGGAAAGACGCCTATACGGACGAGAGGGTTAGTACAAAGCTGAATGGTGATTGCGAACACGAACACGAACCCGAATCTCGAAATTTTGAACGTGAGCCAAAGGGAGACATAGACTAGCGTTCTTCACTCACACTCGTTGGCATATGATCTGAGCTTGGCCCTAGCATCTGGCAATCAAGATTTAGAATCTGGCCCGGCACTCAGATTCGATATTCCTTCTGCACCGGAGATGTGTTTTTTGTCGGATCTTAGCAGGGAGAGGGCTTCTCACAAGCCACGTATGAGATCAAATACGTGGCATCCTGAGACTCCCGTTGAAGGCGGATTCGGATTTAGATTGGGATGAGAATCGCAGCGGCCAGTCAGTCTATGGAAGGTACTGAATTGGAACACGTAAACTGGTTTTCAGGCGCAGAGACACGAGGCAAGTCAAGGTCCGTCGTCTCCCGAACCCCAAAGGTAGGCGAAACGAACAAATCGCGGGCACAAGCGCATCGGAGAGCTGGATCCAATGCTAACAGAGATATAGTCCCTCCCTTACCAACCTGTGGTCGAAGATGGACCCCGAGATAAACAAGGCCATGTAACTCTTCACAGAAACAACCGAACATAGGAGACACTCCAAGAAACAACCTTGGGGAGGGAGTTTGGACTAAGCGATGAAGAAATATGAAGAGATGGCTTTCTCAGCACACACCGTCTCTCGGATAACCACTTTCCGTAATCTAAAGTGTGGAGTACTTGAGAGCAGTTTGAAGCATACCATGAACAGATAGTTACATCCAGTATATAACAAAGATCTCCAGCAAGAGAACTGACGGTGTGACACATGCGTGGAATGTTAGTGTACACCAGCTGAGTGAGAGGAATGAAGGATGTCTTGGGATCGTCTAGAAAAGCCAAAATATCAATATAGAACTCAATTACACTTAAAAGGAGCCTTTGCACAATGCCACATCTCTTGTAGCCCCGTTTTCAATTTTGCTGCTTCTAGAGTTTTTTAGAAATCTCTGCACATTACTATCACAGCCTTGTCACCACCATCAATGTCCTATCTTTGAGTTTCCTTCACAGTCGATTCTAATTACCGCGACTACTATCTCTATGAATACACGTACTATTTGCACCATTGGCCAGCTATTCTCTAACCTTCTTACGGCGAAGAAAGCAGTTGCTGCCTATGTTATTGAGAATGACGCGACGGGAGGTCATAGTCTAGAGAAGCCTCGCCTTTTCTAATTCTTCTAATTTGTTTCAAAAAGCTACGCGTAATTGGCAGAGGCTGAAGCGCGGGCCGCAGAGGAGCAACTGCGATTGGAAGAGGAACAACAACGATGGGAGGCTGCAGAGGCAGATGTTAAAATTTCCAGCTCCCCGAGCTAAAGATCTGGAGCATATAATGGAGGCTTCTCCCACCTGTAAATAAGTAGAGGCGATGATATTCCAACTAATAAAATGCTGCCAATCAACAGCGGACGCGCAGCAATCACGGCCGAAAGACCTCATCGAGTTCTTCGAAGCCTGTCACAGCAGATAAGAGGTATTCATAAATGTTTGCCGAAATTAGCAAGCCCTCCCAATTCTCCGCGATGATTGTTGGGTGAATGTATCCTGTGATCATAGCACATATTGCCAGAGCGATAGTCAACTGCCACGCAAGCAAGCCATTGATATTGTAGCTCAAGAGATTTCCAGCAGGTGTCAATTGACCGGTCCCGTAGCCTGGCAAGAAAGTATAGAGAATTGCTTGAAACAAAACCCAAGCCAAATACAAGTTCAACGCTTTAGAGCTAGGTCTTGGAAGATAATGATTTATAAATGCCTTGGCCCTTTCTAAGTGCCATGTTGCCCATGTTTGAGAGAAGTCACTATCGAAGTGAGCCAACGTGATCGAAAACCACATGACAACTGGCGGTAGGCCGGATATCATCCCAAAAGCAAGTATTGATGTGACCCATGACTGCTGGATATTTTGACCCCATGAGTTGTTTGAGTTTGCCTTTGACCACGACTGTAAAACCATTATGTGCGAGGAGATAAACTCGATATTGAGAACCAAAGGAGATCAAGTCTGTTACCTGCTGAAGGCATGTTTACGTAAAAATATTACTTGCCCTGAAATCTCAAGTAAAATATCATTTGAATATTTACACACCGCTTAAGGACTGTAATACTGTTGAGCGATGCTACACGAGGCAGGCTGAGGTGAGGCCTAGGGGCTGCATACAATAGCGCTTAGTAGTAGTATTTGCAGCTGAACGATAACAGAACTCACAATGTAAGAGATGTATAGCTCCTTACGCGTGGCTCACCTCGCGTCCCTTGGATCATCCACATAATTGCTACTAACCGCTCTGTGCGCTGCTATATTACGACATTAGCCTGGGATTTGAGGGCCGCCCTGTTTCTTGGGTAATTTCTTTTGCACTGTGATTGAGTTGGCCTTTGAATTTTCGTCCTGGATTGGCGGGGCTGAATGCTGCAAGGCTAACATCCAAGTAGAGGCTGTTTGGTGAGAGTTACGACATGACGTAAATTTTACATGTCCTCCTCACGAATGAGGGTGTACTACTATAAGTCAAGACTTTTAGCCCCGAGTAAGGGTTACAAGCTGTGCCACCGTTTCTTTATGGCCTTCCACATGTTAGCTGTTCACTGCAGCCTAGTTCCTAGAATAAATGACTATTTATAAGCATATATTCTAATTAACTCGCCGAGAAGTATAACCCTATATCAAAGGATATAATCTTAGTGGGTTTAGTGAAGAATACGCTATAATCTAAAGGGCTTTAAGACACTACAGTATAGTAAGCTAAGATTTACTGATAAGCAATGAATTTCTATTGTAAATTAGATACTAATTAGAAACAGAAGTTTTTAATCCAACATAAAATACTACATTATCTATACAATCATAGCTATAGAGTGACTGCTCCGTTAGCACACTACTGAACTAGAACGTATATATCTCAACCAATTAGCTAGCTAGTCACTTAATATTAATATAATCAAATCCCTGGCTTAGTATTCTTTTCAAATCTGGTACATCAATATTTAGTATACTAACCCTGCGTAGCCTTAATTGTATTGATCCTCTTTTGTGTACCTGAAGCAGACGTATTTAAAAGCACTTCTAATTAACTACCATGCCTCCACTATAGACCTAAATCAATAATACACGAGTTGAATTATTATCTTTTATAATAATTTCAGTATATCGGCGAGCTGTAATACCTCCACGTAGGGCATCAGGATCTCCCTTTACTGCAATAATATTTGTACACTTAGTATAGCCAAATACAGCCCAAAATACTGTAGTTCGACCTCTTTGTAGGGGCAGCTTAAATAGCCTATGGCAGCAACGCTTCTCCTATACAAATTTGTTGGTAAATAGTATCAAAGATATACTGCCCTTCACTTACCCTGTCCCGATCACGCGCAACAACTACTCGACTCCTGGAATTAGGGCAAACTTCGCACAGAGGTACTCTAGGTGTGTGGGGGCTGCAGCTCACATTTTTTATTACGGAATACAGGCAAGGCTTCCTAGCGTTACTGTGGGTAAGACGGCTTAGCGTTGCGGCTCGCTGGTAGTACCGTACAAGGTTCATGGATGTAGGATGGCTGGGCTATTTCTCCGTACTTAGCGCCGGCTCGAACAATCTCACCGCACGTGGCTGATCTGCTTATCAGCATCCCTACCAGTACTACGTAGTACCGTAGCACTTTGAAGAACTGTACGTAGTAGAAGCAGTGTTATCGGCCAATCAAACGAGGCCACTCCTCGTCCCAAGAGGACTGCTTATTGGGAGGATCCGCTGTGCCGTCAAAATGCTGGTCAAAATAGGCCGCCGGATGCCAACCCTTTTTAGACAGTCGGATTCCCCTTGTCCGTACCAGTTCCAAGTCAGCATCGGGTGGCGACCCCCACCACCCGATGCTGGCGGGCGCCGGCTCGTGCCTACTCTGCTCTGGGCCGGCCGTTCGAGCCGACCCTTATCCCGAAGTTGCCGACCTCCCTTATGTACTGTACATTGTTTTATCAACTAGAGGCTGTTCGTTAGCTTAGACATCCCACCGAGTGTTCGGGTTACCCTACCTTGGAGTTCTGTGCCCACATAGTGTAATCGACCCATTCTCTCGCAGACAATACAGCCCCATCCGCTTCGTATCTGGCGTAAGCTTGCTGGGTGAGAAGGATGGTGATGACAAGGTCACACATGGTCACACTGGGATCCAATGGGTCTACCGAGGTAGAAAACGCCAAGACCGGACAACTACAAGCCCCACAACGCCCTAAAAGTTATATAAAATCACTGCATGGCGCAGTATTCTACCTTCCTATAATTATATTGATACAAAAAGTTAATTAATAGAGTGATATTTTAGTGCTTACATTGTTGATGGAAGTACAAGGATAATCTTAGTGGTATGATTCCATCGGCCAAGTTTCTTTCACCAATAAGGATGATCAGAGAAGAGACGTATGCGATTGCGTAGCCATTTGATTTGATACGCACAGAGCCCTGTGTAGTTCAGTGTATGTAGTAGGAGGATACATGTCAGACAATGTTGGCTCCGTGATCTCTAGCATCAAACGGTTCAAATCGCAATTGAGCTTGTTGAAGGCCATATATCACTTCCAGTCCCCGTCACTTTTTGCCTTGTGCACTTTCCGAAGCCCTTCTTTGGTGCAGCAGTTTTGTATAGACACATCACATCACCCTGGTTAACATGGATAGTCCATCAAGCGCCCGCGAAAGCGTACAACGCATTACATTCTTTGGAGATCAGACAGTTGATACTCTACCTTGCATCAAAGCCCTCACAAATCAGTCACATCGATTACCAATACTGCGGCGATATCTCCGCGAAGCTGCTGACAAGCTCCAGCGTCTCATATCTCAGATCGAACTAGGGGGTTACGAATGTTATCGTAACCTCGAAACGATTGTTGAGCTTGCGGAGATATACTCCAAGCAAGATGGAACCTACGAACCCATAGGCTGTGCCTTGTGGACAATCTCACAATTTGCTGATTACCTCAGGTATGTAGTAGACTGACCTTCTCCCTTTTTCATCTTTTTCGTGTTGATCATTGTTAACGTTCCATCCAGCCTCTCGGAAACCGACCCTTCAATATTAACACTATCCGACTCGGCTGCGCAGCCCACATACGTTGTTGGAGTGTGTGGTGGACTCCTTATGGGTGCCGCCGCTGCCACAGCACGAGACATCAACGAGCTACTAGACATCGGCCGAAAACTTGTCGACGTCTCTTTTAACCTGGGTGTGGCACAATGGAAACGTGCAATGGACATTGAGGGGAAGCCCGGGCGCTGGGCCGTCGCCATTGTCAATGTTCCGCCAAAGCAAATACGAAATATTATTACTGCTTTTAATGAGGATATGGTGAGCAAAATTTGCAACAAAAGGGACAATATGTCGACCGCCGCTAACGGATTCTACTATCCTTAGACCATCCCCAAGCACCGCCAGCTCTACATCAGTTTTCTTGCCAAGGGCTGGGCCGCTATATCAGGTCCCCCATCCCTTTTCCCTGAACTGTGGGAATACTCACCAACTCTGAGCTCGGCGTCCAAGATGGACCTACCACTTGGCACCCCAGCACACGCTGCCCACCTACCTTCGCTTAACATTGAAGAACTCATTGGCCCTGGCTCGGTTCTCGATTTGCCCGTACGACAGGATCGTCTTGTCATCTCCACAAGCACATGCAAGCCTTTTGAGAGCCAGACCTTTGGTAGTCTTCTTTCAAGTTCCCTCCATGATATAACAGGCGAGACACTAAATATTGCTGGTGTGAACGACTATGTAGCATCTTGCCTTAGCCGTGAGACGCCTGTTCAGGTCTCCTCCATTGGGCCCACGAGTCAGATAGGATCATTCAAGAAGGCGCTAGAAGACAGCGGCCTTAATGTTGACTTGGTCTTGAGTGCCACAGAGTCAAAAACTCCCAACCTCCTCAAGAACCCCGATGCCCGAGATGGTTCAAACATGATTGCTATTGTGGGACAATCAGTGCGTCTTCCTGGCAGTGATGATGTCAAGTCATTCTGGGAAGGCCTGAAGGCCGGGCAAACTTTTGAATCTGAAATCCCCCCAAGCAGATTCGATCTTCAAACCCATTATGATGTCACTGGGGCCAAGAAGAGTTCAGTAACTACACGTTTTGGCCACTTCCTAGACCACCCAGGGCTTTTCGACTGCCGACTCTTCAATGTTTCACCCAGAGAAGCAAAGCAGATGGACCCCATCCAACGCCTCCTCATGATGTGCAGTTATGAGGCTCTCCAGACAGCTGGATATAGTCCAGACAGTTCCCTCTCAACAAATCGCATGCGTGTGGCCACGTATTTCGGTCAATCTGGAGATGACTGGCGTCAAGGCCGTGCCAGTCAGGATGTTGATATCTACTACATCCCGGGAACGATTCGATCATTCGCCCCAGGAAAGCTTAACTATCACTACAAGTGGGCAGGAGGCAACTACTCTGTCGACTCCGCGTGCGCAGCCAGCACCACGAGTGTTATGATGGCTTGTAATGCGCTGTTGGGACGGGAGTGTGATATGGCACTGGCCGGCGGTGGCCAACTGCATCTTGAGCCGGAAAACTATGCCGGACTGAGCCGCGCAGGGTTTCTGTCCAAGACCACCGGAGGATGCAAAACGTTTCGGGAGGATGCGGACGGATACTGCCGCGGCGAGGGCATTGGTGTTGTCGTGTTGAAGCGCTTAGAAGACGCGCTCGCCGACAATGACAACATTCTGGCTGTGGTCCGTGGTGCAGATCGGAACTACTCTTGGGACGCCAGCTCCATCACGCATCCCAGCGCGAATGCCCAGGCCAGTATTATCCAACGGGTCCTCCGTAATACTGGGGTTGAGCCGGCGGACATTGGCTTTGTCGAAATGCATGGGACTGGCACGACTGCTGGCGACAGCGTCGAGGTGAAGACTGTCACCACTGTCTTCGGCAGTAGACCCAAGGACAATCCACTA